TGTGTCACACACACACACACACAATTATTAGACCATCGAGATGAAAAATTTCCTAAAACAGAGCCCTGTAGGTCCTTTTCTCAGAAAGATCGTCAATTGCTATATAGTCTTCTCCTTTCTTAAATAACTATTACAAAATGTACAGTGTCTCACAAAAGTATTCAAACACCTTTTAAGACGGAATATAAGATTCTTTTTTAACGATTTAACTGAATGCTTTAATTTTGGTCTTTTTAACATGTTCGAGGGACGTATCATGGAGCTATAAACAATTCAAGACTGCGACAATCACAGTTTAAATCTTTCAATATCTGTTGCTTGACTCTGTGTCAACCGATTTCGACGAAGAAGCTATCGTGGCCCACAAAACCCTTTGTTTAAATCTTCGTTCTAAGCTCAGATAAAAAACTTAAAGATTGTACATTTTTTACTGCTGTTTCGTTACGCCAACGTTTCGAAAACAATTTTTTAGCCATTGTCTACGAAACTAGTTCCTCTAACATCTTAAACCTTAGATCGCTTGGCCCGATTATGAAAAAAGATATTCGATTTTAAAAAGTTTTGGTAAACTTTTACAAGCCATTGTACGTGAAACTACAAAACGTAACATTTACAACGTTATTAACCATCATCGCATGTGCTGGGTGTTGGAACAAGGGTTACTTGGTGAAACAGCCCGGAGACATAAGGTGTACGATATCCGGTTGACCGGGACAAGTACGCGCGAATGTAAAAGACTGCTGTTACAGATTAGAGCGATTCCTCGGGTGGAGGGGAGATGGATAGCACGGAGATCCCGCGAAATCATCCGCGACTTGTGCGCGCCTCTAATGAAGACGTGGTAGGAGTATGAATAAGCGGATACTGCCTACATGTACGTTCGCCACTGTAGCCTCTGAAAATCGCGTGCAATGTCGGAGGACGGCAGGTGGACGGTGAAGGGAAAATAATGTTCCGCCGGGTGATATCGCGGCTGCGAAATTCCTTTTGCTTTCTCTCCTGGCGCGGAGAACTTTTAACTTCGCGGTGGGTGTAGCCGGCTCGTTTGTATAGTCGCGCATTATTCCACGACGTGACGGTTTAATAGTGGAACCCTGATGTCTTGCACTCGTGTGCGCGCGCGATCGCTTGCAGACAGAAGCTGCGATTGCGAGATCGCGGTGTAACGTGGATTGCGAGAGTACGTACTCCGTTTCATCGTGTCAGTGTTCATTTTGTCTTATTCTTTGATCGAAACTGTTATACGCGCTTCTCCGTAAAGACCAACGCATCCTCTATTCCGTTTGATGAGAGCGAACGGTAGTTGTACAGAAAATAACGATCAATAAGCTAAGAGACTCGATATTGTTGGAGATAGTGCAGGAAAAATCGATGGGACGTTATTCATTTCGAAAATATCGAACAGGAAAATGTATATTCTATACGCCATATATATATATATGTAGCATGCGTCTTCTGAAGCGAATATGCAATATCTCAAGCGTTTATGACGTACAAGAGGAAAGTTAAGGAAGAGAATCTAATCCTAAGCTTGTTTAGGTCGTACAAAGATTTATACAAATTTTATACAAATTTTGACTATTAATTCATATAAGGGAAGGGCGGTCAATATTTTAGTATCTTCTGTAATTAAAGATTGAAAGAAACAGAAGTCGGATAGAAATTTCTTCCGTGCTTTAACGGTTTTAATAAGCGACTAATACAATTAATACATTGACATTCTTAAACACTTTGAATCTATCTACTGCTTAAATGGCACATATTAATGCTGGTTGTAAATGCATAAAATCCGCAGACTAGCTTTCCAGTTTGCACTAATTTAAGGTGCTAAATAATATATTTTAGCCTACGATTATAAAAATGGCAAAACTTAGGAGATCAGCTAGCAGTAGATGCAAATGAAATGAAACTATATTGCAAGATGAAGTGGAAATAGAGCTACAGTTTATTTGAGAAATACATCTTGTTCTCAGTCGTAACAAATCAGAATCTGTCCTGAACTGAAAGTTCAATTAAAAGTTATTGATTCTATTGATTTTTGCGTTTTGTTCGAGCGTTCGGGGCTACATGCCTTTCCCCTACGATGATGCTTTATGTTATACATGCTTTCCTACGGTATGAACAATCGAGACGGTCATAAAAAGAGAAGCTCGAATTTCTCCTTTCAAAGTCTTACTTAGCGGACCACCATTGCCCCGGAGATTTTGTGCAACGATAACGTGCACGGGATTAAAATAATCCTCGAAAGGAAGGGACTTTTATAATTTCGCGTGGATCTGGATCGCGCAGTCCGATGTAACACGAATACGCGGGTTTCGCTCGAGATCACACAATCTGGCTCTGTCTTTACTTGCGCGGGAATGCAAGGAGAGGGTAGCTGGGTGGCGTAAGGTTCTCAGGTAGGTACATTTAGGCGGACGTGCACACGTCGAGATTCGTGGCCGTTCGCCGATCGTTGACACGAGACTGGAGTGCTCGACTGCATTATCGTTGGCGTGCGAACAGGTAACCTTGCGATCTCTTGCTGCCTGTATGCACGCGGCTATTTTGGTATGCTGGACTCGTCCACGCGCTGCGCAAACAAATACCCCGCGAAACGATGCTGACCGCGAACCTCGAATAAGCGGGTATCTAGTTTGGTAAGAATTTCTTCGGGACAGCGTAAAATCGATTGCAACTATTTTACTAATATTTTTTTACGCTTTGAGACGTAGCCTGTTACGAACCGTTTTGTCAGCCCGGCTGACAAACTTCAAAAATATTGCTTTAACCAGTCAAGTTTTAGGTAGACATTCAACTCTTTGCGAACAAGTAGTTTTTAAAATATCTACTAAGAATATTTTCCTCAAAGTATTACATGATATACGAAAGTCGTAACTATAATGGGAGAAATGAACCGTGTGCCTTCGTCTCTTATTATGTACATATGCAAATTACAATCCTTATATCGTCAATAGAATTTCGTAAGTAGGAATTGTATCCCTGTAAACCTGCAGTTAAAGCTTGCAGTTTATTCTCCTCTAAGATGATGTTTGCATGATATGGTCAAGTAAATACCTCCCTCTCCTCATAAATACTATAAACTACTGTTTCAGTGAATCGTTGTTTGAAAAGTGTTTTCTATTGTTAAATATGTTCCTTCAAGTAATTTAACGCGGATGCTTAGGTGGTCCCATTTAACTGAAACAACTGGTATATATATACCAGTTATTTCAGTATTATTTTATATATATATATTTCATATATATACGTATATATGTCGCCAATTTCAACCTTCTAGTTTGAAGCAAGCTAACTAGTTCATAGGATAAGAAAGATGGAAATTGTAGATCTAACAGTAATGACGAATTAGTTAATGTACATAAATATACCGTGTAAATATAGAAATAGTCAATAATGTTACATTAGCAAATATTATGCGCAATCGCATAAACTCATCGTTGTTATTAGGAGACAAAACAGTTTAATTAAGTAGATATTGCAGCATTATAATATCGCTGTATTTTTCAGCACAAATTCGAATCGTGTTTTATGAATTTTTTAATAATCTGTTTGGTCATTTTTAGACTGCGAGTGAAGTCGATATCATGTACTATTTCCAATATTGATCTGTGGATATAAATTACCGTAATTATCTTATATCTTGGAAGATGAGCTTAACTCTACGGTATAGGAAGATATCTGAATTTGAGTAAGCTTACGATAATCTTACAAGTTTTCGTTTCCGGTTTCTATTATAAAAGTTAGATACGTAGTTCCTGTAAATGCTTCGGGACTTCTCTGTTAGAAGGGGATCGTTTCCCGAGTGTAAAACCAACGCCAGACATGCAAAGACCTCATCGACTTCTAGTTTGATCAACATTTCCATTTCCAATATTACCACAACAAATATATCATTCTTGATTTATAATTCTATTAATCTGTTGACCAAACCAAAAGCTCTTCTTCCAAAATCTTAAATCGTCGTCCTAAGCAAATACATACTTCCAACCAGTATCGACTACGTGATGTTCATTGGAAGGAAAAATGACGGAACACAAAAACATTTTATGCACTACTTGCATAACATGATACCATTGGTACGAATTTCTTTTAGAAGGAGCCTGAGATCTCGTTCTTGTACGAGCATGAAATAGCTTCAAAAATAAAAATAGTATAGGACGAAAACTAATTAATATTCAAATAAGTACCTACTATTTCAAATCTGCTAGAAAATGGCCAACTAATATACTTTTATACTGAACATATATCACCACATATATTACTCCAATCACTATTACAAAAATAATGTATTTATATAAATGATACGAACGTCGCGCCATATTCGTTTCATGGAGCTAACTCCTTTGAACACCGGTTAAAAGATCACGTCTTTTAAACGACGTCGTGTATGTAACGAAAGATGTGTAAAAAGTTTTGTTTCCCTTATTGCTACAGACCCTTCAATTCCGAACTTTCAAACTCGTTCTCTTAAGATCATGATCTTCCAGTTACACCGCTATTGGAGCAAGCGAGCGATAGCGCGTGGATGGCGTACAATTATTCAGAAACAAGGTGTTGGCAGTCGAGCAACGAGGAAGAGAGTCAAGGTAACGGAGGGGCAGGGCTCATCGCTCGGCGGAGTTTCTCCCCGTTTAGTTTTCCTGGATATCCTTTCACGTAGCTCGCGTTCAACCGATCGTCCTTCCACGACCTAGGTCTCGAGTGCGTTCGAAGCTGTCGAGGCTGTCTGTCGAGGGAAGTCGGTGTGGTGAGAGGCGGCCACGGAGGCCTCGTGTGGCACGGGCCACGACAAGGGGCGTCGAAACCGGAAATGGTCCATCGAGGACGGGAGTTGCCGTGGCAACCGCGATCTGCTTTAACCCCCGGTCGATCATCGGTCTTCCGCGTCATTCGAAAGCGGTCTATTATTCGGGGTCGCTGCATCCTCTCTTGCAGTCTCCTCGAGAGAGAGCCGCTCCGCCTGAACCTGTGTATTGTGTGTTTGTGCTACCGGTGAGCAGCCAACGAGAGAACGATACGCAACTGCACGTAGTCCGAGCCCGAGCCTGAGCCCGAGACTCTCCGAACCGCGCCGACGCAAGCCGAGTGCCGCCGGTGACGGACGATCGACTCCGAAATCTTGCGACGCGTTGCATCGTGTTACGTCGCGTTACGCTTGCAGCAGGACCGACTTGAACGCGCTGCCAACTCGATCTTATCAGGGGCGATTGTTTGAATTTGTCTGTGAATTACGACACCGATTGGCGAACTTTTGCGCAAGACTCTCCCGTGTGTTCATTCAATCCGACTCGATTCGATACTTTTTAATGTAAATTATTTAGACGAATCGAATACCGTACCGTCAGGTAACGTTCATCAACTCCCTGTTTATAATATGTAAACGTCGGTACAAACGTTTCAACGATCTTTGTATTCGCAGTGTAATATAAAGTGTGTATATACCATATTTGCACTTAACATGTGAAAACGTGTTAGTTTAGAATAAGGTTTCTCAACATTTTCAACATTTTATAAACAGCCTTCCATTAAGAAACTTAATTCATGTAATTGTAACACAGTAGGTAAGATTATGTATTGAGAAATAAATATCGTGCACGATCGTTTCTATAACGATCGATTTAAAAATGTTTCGTACACAGGTACAGACGCCTAGTCTGCAATCGCGCATGCGTCAGGAGCGGATCAATCACGCAACATACCCGCCAACGGCTATGCCTCGGAAGGTAATTTCTAATGATCGCAATTCTCCGTACTTTCTTGCGCGTGAAATGGTCTGTGCTGGATCCTCTGTACTTTCACCTGGATTTTGAACCGGAACTTGGACTGGACAATCGATGTCGCGCATCCTCGAAAGTTTGTTAAACGCTCAGTGTTCTAGGTTAGATGCAGTGGCTGGATTCCATCGTATCAATTGATACTCGGCGATATTGAATGGTCGATAAACTAGTCGAGAACGAGGCGCGGGGAGTAGCAGAAATCGGTTAATAAAATTCGATACAGTTGGATGACTCATTTATAGCGATCGCGGGTGGCCACCAAGGGCGATGGAGATTCTCGATCCAACACTGTTCGTATAGCGATGGGCTCAAGACGCTCTGAATACAATATTTTAGGATCATTCCAAATACTATTTGAAGTAAATGCATAGAGTCTTGAGAATTTTAGAATTTTGAACAACTCCTACATAGCAGAGATTGCACCATTCGAAGTAATGTAATCTGTGTACACAGATATGTACACACGTTTCGACATGTATACGATTTCCTTCAGTTTCTATTCTTTCGAAAAAATCCACTGTTTCAAGGCCTCCGAGACCTTTCGCAAAACCAGTTTCTCATTAATTCTGCCAAAATTGTTGAACGTTTCCCAATTCCACACCTATATTCTACAGAGGAACAAGATGTCGAAAATAGCATACTGTATACCAGAACCGAAACGGCTTTAGACCTACGGATCTCGAGATGGGCCAGCGTAAACAAAGTGTCCATAATATCGGACGTCATCGTATAGGTCCAAATACGTAAAATGCCTGACACAAAAGACATTCTTATCCAAGTCGTCCGCATCGACTGACGTCTAAATCGTTTGTACAACATTATACACTTCCTGTATAGAGTGCTTCAATGAATCATTATAGCAAGAATAACAATTGCGTGAAGACTCTAACGCCAATTGATCAACGCTAAATTATTTCATTCCAGGTGATCATTTTAAAGATTATATAATTATTATTTAAACTGATAATTGCAAGTTCAATTATTATTAGTTCGTGAAGCAAAATTATCTGAGTTTTCATACTCAAGGACTTATACTGATAGTTTTCCGAGTTATTCAATTGTGATTATTAAACCCTGGACAAGTTGATTCACTGGGATTGAGTAAGGGCTACGTGATTTAACATTAACATGAAAAATGACTGCGCAATGTCCTAATCCGAAAAACTAGTGGTAGTTTTGCGGCACTTCTTCAAGATTACCGCCCTCTGGCATTACAAACGGCGACGATTCTAACCTCGATAAATTGCTCGAAAATTCGCGAGAAACAGAGGGAATTGAATGGCCATCAGTAGTTGGCGTGTATTGTACACGATGTGTGGGTTCGCGGGACCGCGTTGTGTTGTTGTAGGAATGCTGTCGGCAGCCGGCAGCAGGGTCGCCCACTGTTACTCGTCGGGACTCGCTTTTGCTGCCTCTCTGCCCTTCCTGCGCTCGCCGCCTCGCTCGCTCGCTCGCTCGATTCCGTTTTAAAACTATATTGCCGTGGCCCCTTTGTACTTGCGGCCACTCGGCTGCCCAGCTTGTGTGCGCGCGCGCGTGTACACACGTACACATATCGTATTACATATTTGTCCAGAGGAAGAACGGAGGTCTCGTCGTTCATCGTGTCGTCGCGATCGTGCCTTCCGTCGCGCTTCTCACCACGCGATACACACACCGACTTTCTCGCGTGATTTCGAACAGTCGAGCGTGTGCCGTACGGTTTTTCTAGCGGGGGCGCTGACTACTCGATCGGGAACACCTCGGAACCGTTCGACGTATGTACACAGTTCGTTCCGTTCTCCGCGCCGAAATTGGACTCGACTAATTGAAATACGAAATGCATGCATTAAACGAGCATTGTCCGACTAGAAAGAAGTCGTTCCTTTCTTTCGATGACAACGGCTTCATTTGATATGTTTGGATATTTTCGCGGAACTCGCGGGATCGTGAAATTTTAATTCTACGACGACAGAGGTGGCGCTAGTGGTAACTGCGTTCAGACCTATACATACGTATGTAGTAAATTCTCCGCATACGACATGTAATATTTATCTAAACGATGTTCTGAAAACCTGTAAATACGTTCAGGAGTATATTCCAGAGTGAATTTACTGTTTTATTCAGAAGAAATCCAGAAAGTTAAATAAGCATATTGATAAGAGTATCGACGGCGTTAACGTTGCTGCCCACAAACGGGTTCTAAGCGCGTTTCGTCCGATGCATGAAACGAACAGTCTTTGTTCCGTCCATTGCTTCTGCTGCGATAGCTCGCGGCATTATCTCAAACGACGTTGACGATAAGGCCGAGGCGCGTACAAGCACGTATGTACGCGTGCAAGCCGGTATTAAACGTTGGGCCAGGGAGCGGAAGAGCTGGAGAGGCTTCTCGTGGCAATACTTTCTTGACGAGATTTTTTTCGCAACTGTTTAACGATAATACCGCTCATGTCAACGTACCTTCCCGCGTACAGTCATTGCTTTCCAAGTCTCTTTCTCTTTCTCCCCCCCCCCCTCCCGGTTGCGTCCCTAATTAACCACCATTTGCCGAGAGCGTGTATTCTTCACAGCGTCAGTTCGATTACAAAACGTCTAGCGTAAGAACAATGTTTCAGTGTTAGTCTAACTCGAATGGAACCACCGTATCGAGCAGACCTGCCGCTTCGGTCGATTCAAAAACGAAAGAGAGCCGACGCGACTGTCGAATTCTCGGGGATTCCCGAGAAATGCCTGAGAAGGCTGTAGGTCCAAAAGCAGGCAAAGAGAGAGATTCCTCCACGGTAAGGTCTTCGGCTTGGGATTAAGCTTGCCCTTCTCCCTTGTGCTCTCTTTCTCGCTCTCTCTCTTTCTCCCTTACTCTCTCTTACTCCTCGGTTGTCGGCTCTTTCCACGAAACTCATCACCGTTCAACGGGCTTTATCCTGGCTTGTTTGCCTTTTCTTTCAACCGGCCGGTTTCTTTTCTTTTTCTCTCTCCACGCCTCTGTTCCTTGTCCTCCGCGCGCGTTCCTCCCTCCCTTTCTCGATACCCTCCTGTCCCTCACGCGCTCTCTCTCTCTCTCTCTTTCTCTCTCTTTTCACCGGTGATTCTCTTTCCGTCTGACACGGGGTTTCACTCGCACGCGCAACCTTTTGCCGAATGGCGTGTCTTACGGCGGCCCACGAGCAGCTCTCGTCCGCCAGAGAACACCGCTCCGTTTTGGTCTTGCTCGTTTTCAGTGGCGTGGCCGGCCGCGTTCTCGATAATCGGTCGAGTCCTACACCGCCAAGTTCTGATCCTGTCGAGCGAGCATACCACCTGCCGTAATACACTCGGCCGAAAACCTATGCCGGCGACCATTCATAATTTGAACGCCGATTTCACCGTTTCGCGCGGCCGCCGATCGTGTTCGCGTGCATCGGTCACGAGATGCTCCCACTGTGATTTGCGAAAGATTTCGCCGCATCGCTTCGTTCCGAGCAGAAGCGAGCCGAGCTGCCTCAGCGTAACAAGCAACGTGGCCCGCGATCCCCAAAGGGACCCGTCCTCGTCTTCGTTTTGCGTCAGACGATGCGAATTAAATTGGAAACATGGATGACGCTCAGTAGGCGTACCATTTGCCGACGATGTAGCAGGTGGCTGCTATGGTTCGAGATCATGTATTCTGCTGGGACGATTTTCGGTGTGCCGAGTCCTTGAACAGAATTAAGTTTTGCTTAATAAAATAAGAGATCGAATAAGTGACAGCTCGTTGTCAGCTTTATCGAACTTTTTTGAGTAGCTAAACTTTGGAAAACTCTCTACAAAATCCAATGCAATTTTCGGTCTCTATAATTATGGAATACTCTTGAAGGTAGTTTTTGTTTATAATTGTTGATTTGCCATTCTGTTATCAATGCATGAAGATTACGAAAGATAAAAGTTGTGAAAGGATATATTCAGTTTGCAATTGTCTTATCATCTGCTCAAAGCGATCCGACGTATTTTCATATCATGCCTACGGTATAAAAAATTCGAGTTTTTCTTTGCTGATTGATCTCGTAGATGAAAAATAAAATGAAACTACACTGGTCCATCTTTTTATATGATAGGCTTGAGAAATAGGCCTGATTAGATTTATATGAAATTCGGATGTTCAATTCCGTATTTTGCAATTGCAGCCCGAACTTGCTTGTTCGGTGAAATCGTAACTATCGAGCCACGAAGCTCGTACATACATATAAGCGTCACGGATCCTGAGGCCCTCAGTCGCCAAGGCTCATACATTTTAAATCGTCCTTTCTCGCGACACAATTTGTGCGCGACAAATTATGAACACTGGCGGAGACAAGGCTCTGCTTGATTGTACTAATATCTGCGCGCCGTACTAAGTTGTTGCACTAATAGCAATGTCGTAACTTCAAATGTACCATTTTTTTTTTTACCGAACTATTATGTTGTTACATATGAGACAATCAATTTTTAACTGACATAATATTTTGCCAAATAAGACTTGATTACAATTATTATTAGAATCATTAGATTTAATCTTTTTACGGAAATAGTTTTTTGGTTCAGCCTATCTTGCTTTTATTAAACCTTAGACTAAATCATTAGTGCATTCAAATGGTATTAATACCTACAGATATAAAAGTATTTTTTTTTTAATAAAAATGCTTCATGTCGTTGAAATTATTAAATCAGATATACTAATTTTCTTTTAGATGCTTTGACAAATTATTGTTCGATTTCATTCCCGGTTATTATATCTACAACACGTATTGACACATTTATCCGTTAGTGACGAAGAAGAAATCGAATTCCTGAGAAAATAAATGCAACCATGGAATTCGTAAGTGTCGCACGGCGTGTAAGCGAGTGATTGATGAACACAAGGACGACACGTTCGTCATAAATGAAGTTTCCTTTATTCCACATTTGTGACTCGTTCCAATACAAGCTTCTGATGAAGTTCGCCGACACCGGTGCATAGATCAAGTCTGGTAATGACATTTTTTATTTGCTAATCGCTTTCGAATTCGCCTGTGCTAACTATTTGTCATTCAAGTACGTATCTTTGAAAATGCACAACATAATAATGCAAAAGATAACAGTTTGAAGCGTACGTGCTTGCTATAGCTGCGATATTGTACATACATGTGTTTTCTAGGAGAATAAATTCTTATTAAAAGAAAGTAGATCATAACAAATTATTTAGTTTAGTTAATAACAATGAACATGAACATTTTATTTATAAATAAGCTTGGAAATGGAGTGAAAGTGATTTTTAAATAGAGATTTGCAAATATTCCACTTTGCTTTCGGATTATTGATCTGGCAAGTTAGCTCCAATGAATTTTTTGTGTTCGATTGGAAAATATGTCTGACAATGTACATATATGTACCGTAAATGGTATAACATATGATTCTGGGTTTGTAGTGAGGAATACGTGAATGCGTATCCGCAGCAAAGTTTGATTTTGCGCAGCGTTTAGCACGCACGACAAATACTTTTATCCTATGAGGGATGCTTGTAGATCTTGTTTCCAATAACAAAACTTTTTCAAAATTCTTTACAACTAGAATGCAATTGTAGAATATTCTCGAAAGTAGCAAAGTTTACAAAAAAAAAAAAAAATCTCCAAAATTAAATTTAATCTTTTAAAGAATTTATATCCTGTCTATCGAAAGAAAACATCTAAAGTGTAACTGGACCTATTCAGTGGATCTCAGGTTTCTTCTTTCGAAAAACCGACCATAATTACGATCGTATATTTTTCTTTATACTGCGATCTATCGAAGCGAGATACATTTACATTTGGAAGGTCCATAGGTTCTTTTAAAACAGCAAACATGTAGTCGAATTGGAACGAAATGAACTGATCAATGTTATTGAGTGGCTTTCCCCACTATAGCGTTCAGTCCACTATCTACGCCTGATGTGATTCATATAGGGGCGAAAGACCTTGAGTGATTAATTTATCTACTCTTGACAATAGCACACCCTGAATTTCTCGAAAGACGTGAACTTTCGAAGTTCACGAATATATAATTTGAAAAAGATATTTCTCTTCTGTTAAACAGCAAATATATTGCAATATAAGTAGTATTTCTTTGAAAAAAATCTGTTTCTATTTATTTAAGAATTATTATATCATTGTTTTAAATGTACTTTTATTTTAGGATTTTCTTATTCGTATTTCTATGCAGCTGTGTTCTCTGTCGATAGCTGTATTATTTCATTCTCATATACTGAATTAAATTGATCCAAAATGACAATTTCACGTTTAATAGCTTTTTAACGAATGATCCTATTTACTAAAAAATGATTGACCACTGCAAGTACCCTAGAATGTGTTCTTTAATAAATAATATATTTGGTTTTCCTTTATACATGTTATATTTACATTTGTTAAACTAGAACTGTGCGAGTAACGTGATCCAAAGAAGATTCTTATCAATTTTATGAGAAAAGCCCATGCATATTGTACATAGTATTTCTGAACATCTCTCATATGTAAACAACTATCTATATAAATAGATAGATGATCTCTAAGTGGTTTGTTTAGTCTAAAAGAGTCAAGTGACTTGTGTCAAATATTAGATTAACTTTATGTTTGTAACATTTCTGTTTAATTATATGTTCTGAACGAATAATATACACGTACAAGGTAAGGCAAATATGTATACACAACTGTATATTAATCATTCATCTTCGAAATAACAATTGACTTTAAGAGAATATTCTGATCTAGAAGTTTGACAAAATGTAGTTTTTATTGCATTTTATTAGAGTATATGCATTTAAGAACATGTCTACAAAATGATTTTTTCAAAAATCCAAAAAAAAATAATGAAGTTAGAGATGTTTGAAATACGTATACAATATACATACAATTTATATCACTAGCAAGAGAAACTTCAAACGCGTTTATCTCAAAACCATATTTTCTAATATGGCTGACACAATATCTCAAGATTTAGTTATCCAATTTGTACACATTTTTCAGTAGACTTCCCGCTATCTTGTCTACCACAATGATCAATAAATCTTGTTATTTTCCCATTCTTTTATTGTAATACGGACCAACTACACATGTATTTTTGAAAACCACCTTGTTTTTTTCCGAACAGTTGGAACCATATCAGCTAGAAAAACACTTTAAAAGAAAAGATGTAACACAGAGAATTTTAAATATTTTCTCTTAAAAAAATATACGTTATACCTAAAATACTAGTAAAATTATATGTAAAGAACAAATGCAAAACAATTGTTTATTTTCTTGTAAAAAAATTCAAGGAAGACCTAAAAACCTCTATATAAACGTTATAAGAAGAATTACAGAATCTTGTCGAACAGACAAGACATCCTTAAAGTCGTTATTCGAAATAAAATTGTTCAAATCTGCTCCTGAAGGATCGTGCAGGGTGCCCCGAGCTGCGCGCACGTTCCTGCGCCGAGCGTGGCGTTTGGTGCGCACAGGGTTCCATTTCGAATGCCCGGAAAGAATGCCACGGCTGCCGCCGAAGCCAATGAAACAGGCTGGCCAGTAATTCAAGCTTGCAATGGGCCGGCGTAGGTGCAGCGCGGTCCGGTGGCACGGTTCGGTCAACTATACAGTCTGATCGAACTGTGGCCGAAGCGAGAAACACTTGAGAAACGTCGTCGGCGGGTCGGCGCGGCGTTTCGGTCACATAGGTGGAGCAAAGTGGGCGAGTAAAAAGCGACGACGCGACGGTTCTTCGAGGGTTCACATTGCCGCCACGCCGGTAAGACGCGATGCGAGCCGTTTTGCTCGCTTAGTCGGAGGCTTGGTTCCAACGAAGAAAGAGGGATAGCTGCGAAGAGGGAGCGACGAAGAGAGAACGGATCAATACCATGCGATACACGCCGAAATAATTTCATTGTCCACTGTTAGCGGTGGCTCACGTGTCGCGTGGCGCGGTATGGCATGGCATGGCATGGCGTGGCGTGGCGTGGCGTAGCGTTGTGTGGCGTGCGCTACTCTCTCTTTCTCTTCCTCTTCCCCCTTTCACGGCAGCCGTCTGTGCGTTTCGCTCTTTTCTTCCGTGCTATCTACCCCTGTCTCTTTCTTGCTTCCCCCTATCCGCGTCGGTTCTTTGTCTCTATCGTTCTCGCTCGTGCCTCTATCCTCGTCCTTTCGGTTCTACGGGGGTGAAGCAAAGGGGAGAAACAGTCAGGAGGGAAGGGGGAGAGGCTAGAACCCTTATGGCACGAGTGATAGCCGCACGCCGCTACTGGGTATTGATCACCCTTCGCAATCAATGTTAACAACGCTGCTTACAGATGGTGAGATCAGTTATCTAGATAAAGTTGAGACAATCGGGCCGGCGATGTCTTGATCCGAGACGATCGGGAAGCGATGATCGAGGAAGCAAAATCGGATTCGCAAGATGCCCGGCCAGAGCAGCGAGATCGTCTCGTGAAAGTTTTTAGAGAATGCGTGCACGCGCCGTTTTACTTCGGGGCCAGAGCACGTAGGGTAATTGAAAACAGGCGGAACCGTATTGGCCGTAGATCGGCGAGATTATAGACCGCGCGGTTTAGGTCCGTGCGGTCGAGTCTAAGTAAGACGCGCGCCGAGAGTGCTGAACGGTTTAATTGAAACGGGGCCAATAAACGACGGAAAAAAGAACAGTGGACCGTAAACCGCTGGCTTCTACTTTGTTACGAACGTTTGCCTCGCGAGAGCCGGGGAACCTCTCTGGCGAACGGAGCGCGCGCGACTCTCACGGCCGATCTTTCACTCTCGGACATTTAGAGCGTTGACTTTCTCTCCTATCGCGACTGTCGTTCGTGCGAACCGTCCACGATACAACAACGCTCGTGACGACCAATCATGACCTTGTCGAGATGGATTGATCGTAACCCGGAACGGGACGCAGCGTGTCGTCAGAGTATTTAGGTGAACTTTGGCTCGGAACTGCTGAAAAGTTTCGTATGCTGTCGACCCTACTGTCCCACTCGATGTTTACAAGCCGGTCGGACTAAAATGCACCCTCGCTTTAAATATAATTATTATTCGGCGATTTACGTCGCCATTAGGTCGCCAACATGTTTGAACTGAACTACTAAAATTGACCATTAGCGCCTATAATTAGAATTCAGTTAGAATTCAATAATTTTATATTCTATTTTAGAAAATATAGTCAAAAGATGACACCAGATTCATTCTAATTATAATTTATACTTTAAAAGGAAAGCCTTGAAGCCATCAACAATCACAATAACTGTCGGTCGCACTCTGAGTATTCAAATTCCAACAGCGTGGAATAATTTGCGGCACGGTAAACGACTATTATGACGAACATGTGCATGACAAAATTTGGTATACACAAGTTAATTTAATTCGAATTAGACTGAACTAAAGTTTGAACTATGTTTGATCATTCAACAATCCTCTTCGAAATCAGTTTCGTAGATAACCATCCGCTTAAGGAAACCAGCCAGTCGGTGTCATTGGCCAAAGGATTACCTTGTCTTGTCTAGAAAATTACGCGGCAATTACACAACGCGCAACATTATTTCTACGGTAGCTGTATATACCTGCGAACTCTTCTTCGGGTGGCTCGTTAGGCTATCGTGATCCTAACCTATCCTTGCATCAGTTAGTCGGTAGTTCCTACATGGAAGCATGCATTTTCTACCACACACAGAGGTCGGACCGGTGCACGGATATGCATACATCTGCGCGGATGAAAACGTTCACCATGGCGCAGTCCTCGCTTGTCAGAACAAAGTCTTTCGCGGCGCAGCGTCGCTAGCCTCTGGCCAACAAACTGCTGGTAGTAACAGGCCAGCAACGGTCATTTATGTTAGAAGAGAAGCGGTGCGCATGCATGCTTACTTGCTTGCTTGCTCGCTCGCTCGGTCGGTCGGTCGGTCGCGCGCGCACACGCATAGGGACGCGTGCGCGTTCGCAAATCGTGTATTCCGCATGCACGCTCCAACAGTGATTTCTAAGTTGAACGAGGAGCTGTGAGGAGGGTGTGATGGTGGGGCGGGGGAGGGGAAGGGGAGGCACGGAATCACGGAGAAAGAATCCCTTCGTTGGGTATCGTTGGACTGACTCACGACCGACGCTGATGAGCTAATGACGAACATATGCAACGAGGTCTCGAAGTGCGCAAATAAAGTCATCAATGCGAGCGTTTCGACAATCAGAACGTTTCATCGAGAACTGAAACCGGAATCGGTTATTAAATATAATAACCCCTCCTCGATCGTCCGATATGCGTCCGATTTCAAATAAACAACCCTCCGAAATTGAGATATTATTTTAACGATGCGCATTAAATCGTCTGATGAGAATTCCATAAAATAATTCTGCAGAAATTTCATCGTGCTGTGGAGTTGAGAATCGGGATCCTTTAACGCAATTTGCCCAATAACAGGACTTTCGGTGTCTTATTGTTGTTTCGTAAACGTCGCGCCGTCTTTCCTGCTTGTTTCTGCTCATTTCATCTCACACTTTCCCCCGGAGCGGCGTGACCCGCGCGAGGAAGGGCAATGGAATTCAAGTCTGTGGATCTCTCGGAGACGCATCCTCTCACCCTGCCCCTAACCACCTACCTCGCCGGCGTTCGTCCCACGCTTCGTTTCTTCGCACCGCCCTATCTCTCTTTCTCCCTTTCTCCGGGCTCCGCTGCGCAAGTACACATAGCCGACCAGATAGAAATAATACATTATTTAAATAGTGTGGCGACTACGGTGCGTGACCTTCTCGTCGACGTCGCGCCTGATTCCCCTCTTTAACCTCTTCTCCTCTCTGGTTCTGTGCGCGCGAGCCGCGTCACCCACCACTTCTTACCTCCGCCGCTCCCTTCCATCGGCGGCCTGCCTCTCTCACCCTTATACTCGACTCGTCCCCACCACGACGGCCGATGAGCGCGCGAACGCATCCCCTCCGTCGCGACTGCTCCTCTCTTCTGTTTCTCGTTCTTTCTCGTTTCTTGCCTGTCGTTCCCACTCCCGGTGTCTACTTTTCGCCCTCTTGTCCTACTGTCCTTGTTCATTGTTCGCTCGATTTCTTTGCCGCCTCTTTTCCACAGAGAGACGCTCTCTTTTTCCTGTCGTCTGCTTCACTCGAAACGTCGCCCGTCCTTCTCTCTGTCCGCGTCCCCACTATTTCAACTCCCGAGCGACAGTTCTTGGTGGCTCTCCTCTCTCGACTCGGCTCCGCTCGCTGGGCTTGCTTGTGTACAATACAGGGTGGCTTGCAAGGACAAGGAATTAAACAAACTCCTTAAGGCGGTTACCTGCCGCTGCCGCCGTTGCTCGCGTGCATACGCAAGGATACGTGTGTATACACAGGTCCTGTAGTGGGGATCATAGGTTATACAGCTAGCCGGCAACGTTCCCGAGTACACACGACATCGAGAGTAGCTAGTCGAGAAGGGCGAGGGGTTTTAGGGGATATCCTTTGTCCGAGAAACCGTTTTTCGTCATCGAAATAACGATCCTTGTACGATCCTGGTGGGTGCTCTGATTTCTTTTACCATTATTTTCTTGCGATCGCTTAAAAATAGATACGTTCAGCTGAACGGTTACGTGAATTATTGTTATTCAATTAGACGAATGCATTATGTCTGTTCACTATTTCAAGCGCGATGCTAGTCGGATGTAAATACGCGGGTACTCTCTCCGGCTCGAGGTGTACACTCGCTGTAGCGGTTAATTACAGGGAAATTATTTGTTCGAGACCGGGAGAACGCACTTTAACGACTGCTCTTTGCGATAAGTTGCCGTAAAGATTATGGCAGGGTTGAACGCGCGCGTCCTTCCGGCCTTTCGAAACGCGTTCTCTCGCGCCAGACATTGTACGCAACCCGAAACTTCGGGTATTCGCCGTTAGGTCGCAGCACGTTATGTCTCGGTCTTTGAACGAGGGGAAGTCTGCATACTGCATTCTTCATCGTTATACATATTACGATCGAATACCGACTCACACTGGTTACTGAAAAATTCAAAGTGACTAAAGTGACTGATTGAATAAAGTAAATCATTGAAGTTTGTGTCAGTTAAATGAAATCTTGATCACTGTAGAGTTATCAGGAATGGATGCCTGAGTATCCTCGTATCTACAGATAAATCTATGAACGCTACATTTCCAATAGGAACGTATACTATCCTACAGCCGGTCAAAGTACTAGATACGTTTTTTGATTCTGACTTTTCTGCATGCCAAGAGCTTCCCTAACAATTTTCAAATCATTACCCCTATATCTTTTCAAATCCCAGCCGACGCCATGGTGGCGCTTCCGGCGTTCTTTCCCCCTCCCCTGTCTTCCAGGTAGCTGAAAACTGACTCAGCCTCCATATGTCGCTTCATCATCCTACGAACGAAAAAGAAAAACGAGATACGATGCGGCATAGAACTTGGAAAAAATCGGGAAACGGAAAAGAAAAAACACATCATCTCTCTCGTCTTTCGCGAGATTCTGCGACCCGTCCGCAACGCGGACGCCCGCTAGAAAGACCGGCAAGTACGTACAAGCTGAGACGCACGTAGTACTCTCGGCACTTGTGTTGGCCCCTTCGTTTATCCGCTTCCAGTTCTTGCACCCCTCCAGGTCGTGGGCACCCTCGCTCTTCTCCCAGCAATCCTTTACCCTCTCTGTCTTAAACCACTCCTCATCTGGCGTGCTCGGAGAGCGTAGCGGCGCTGTCGACACAGCTTCCTTCCCCTTCGCGCGGTGCGCCACTGTGAACGAGGCTTGAACTGGCTCTGGCTCTGGCTCCGTCTATTGGCGGCGTTGCCAAGTGTCCTCGACCATCTGTAACCGCTCCTCCTCTCCTGTTTATTGGTTTAATATTCAATACGGCTCGTGAGTCCGATGTGTAACAGGCCGATGTAGGTGCCCGTTTGAGCGCGTGCGTGCACATGTATCGGAAACTATGTAACTGTGCAGTGCTCTCTCCCCTCCTCGCCGCTCGGCTACCTCCCCTGATACTTCCTTCCCGCAAAACTCCACCCTCCCAACCAGCAGAGCTCTCTGCTCTCTTTATCGCCTCCACACTGTATCCGTTTCCGTCTTCTTTTCGTCCTTTCTTCATCATATCGCGCTCGCGTTCATTCGGTTCACTCGCTCGCGAGCCTCTCACCCCTCCAGCTTTCTTCCTTCTCCTCCTCATCCCTTTCCACCACCTCCTACTACTACTACTCCTACCTCTTTGCTCTTCGTTTCGGAGCTCTTCTCTCCTTCGTCCTTCCTCTTCGCACACTCGATCGCCACGCCAAAATCTTCGTATGCGTGTACGCGTCCCGACGCGCATAGTCGGGGGTTAACTATGTATAGTCGGATAATAGAGTTTGCCGAGTCGACATGCGCCCTTCTTGGACCAAGGTGCCGGCCTTGCCCCATATTTCTTCGAAATGGTCGGGGAGCCGAGTGACGTTCGATATCTTGAACGTAGACGCCGACAGAGGAGCGTCGGACTACGTCGGTGACGTCGACGCCGTCCTCGGTACACAGAGACACCTTCGGCGACGCCAGGTCCTTGTTACCTCCTTCCCTCCCTTCCCTCTCTACCCTCATCGAGCAGTCGTCCTACCCTTCACCCTTGTGTTCCATCGACGCCACACACGCGAGAATGCTGTTCGATTCGACTTTTTGTCCTGTTCCTCGATTAGAGACGCTCGGATATCAGTGGATCTGACACGAGTCTTAATGTTGTGAAATGTAAACCGGTCACGGTGGGATTAATTGCCTTGTTCCTCTTCTCTCGGACGCGTTCTTTCAGCTGTAATTAGAAATTTTGCTTCTCTATTTAGCTGGAATTAGCGCCTGGATATTCGCTTTCTTGAAACCTCGACTTTTGTGTCTCGGAGCGCACGTTATTATCTCTTGTGCACCGTTGGAGTCCGTTTTAACCCAGGGTATCAAAGTCGTTATTTAATTGCGTGATTAAAAATTTTACTTTTGAATTTTTTTAAATATATTTGTTAAGAAACTTTTTTTTAGACGCGTCAGCCTTTTTATTGTTCCTAATAAACAGCTATCGATTCAAGGCATCAGAATTGGAATAATTAACCCTGCGGCTGCAATCTTATTTTACCGACTGCATATTGAGACGTTTAAGTGCATGCATTTTTTAAGTTTTCGAGCTTCAAGGCGTCCAATAAGTTGTCATGTGATGTCATCTAATAATGTCTGATTTTTAAAATATGTGGAAGTATAAAAAATTACAATTTATTGTTAATTACCAAATAACATGACAGTTTTGGAGTTAACATCTTTATGCTAAATGAATGTTTCCTGCATCAGTTGCAAGAAACGAGATTTATATAAAAGCTTATTTTGACTCTTCATAATTTTAATAAATCGGTAACAATATTATTTGTCTTTAAATGCATAAAATTTACAGTTTATTTATCACTACAGTATATAAATTATAAGACTTACTAGAATAGTGACTACAATGTTGCGTTAACTGTTAAAAGGTTTATTATTGAGCATTTGCTGGTATGGTGGTTGCATTTTCTATACGTTCGTTTCATTATCGATTCTATCGATCGAATTGCGAGAAATAATCCGCGTTTCACGGAACACATACCTAACATTGATTTGTGTATTACGTCAGCCCGATGATACTCGGTGCGTGAAGTGCTATTGATTCGCCCCGCAGTCAGGATAGACAACCATGTTCCATTTTCGACTGTGCATCGTGGTATGATTAAGTAACTAAACTCAGCGATCAGATACTCAAATATTGTTCTTTGGCCTCCGTTATGAGTTCATTTAAGTTATCCAACGATCGATACGTAACGCGTAATATCCACGTTTGTTTATTTCCACTATTACCCATTGATTGTCAGTCGCCATTCATCATTCGATTGTGACAGCTCGCTGATGGAAATTTTCCGAGATTAATGCCCTAAACATGGAAATTTGACGGTAATTAATCTTATTAATTGAATATTTCGCGTGTGATAATTTTTCTGTTTAATGTAGGTCAAAATAAAGTTCGCATCATCAAATTGTTATTTAAAGATTGCGAATTTTATGCGCTTACGACGAGTATAAATATTTGGATTGGAATTAAGCAAACGGTGCAATAAAGTTACGTAAACGTTTACAACTTTTTCGAGGTCCCGAAAACACTGGAATTATAACGATGAATTTCAAATTTCTTGTTTCCGGGGTGCTGAAATTACTAAAAATTACCAAGCAAATTAGTTTCATTATTTTCGAACTGACATGTTCGATACGAAATTATGAATCAATAGATTATTAATTGACTCTCTGTTCATGCGTACTTGTTATTAAATGAAATGTAAGTACTCGACAGGAATTCGTCTATGCAACGTTTCGTTCCTTGCAAATGATGACGAAAATCTGAAAACACTAACATTTATAAACGCAATATCTTCCTTAGATATTTATTTTTGGATTTCGTCTCTGATAATAAGTTTTTTCATAGGAGCATCCGTAGTCTATGCAATCGATTAACATTCTTTTCGGGCCATACTTTCGCTGGCACCCAGACATATCGCATATTTGCTACACAATAACGTAACATAAAGCAGGTTTTATGTTATTGATACAGAAAAAACAGTTCATTCATTTGTATCGTACTGGTACATCATCATGTTTCATCCAAATGAATAATTTTATCGACATATTTTAGTTGCACATTAAAATATTAAAGCCTACCTACATTACATGTATGTGCATATTGAAGTTCAAAGAAAAGGTTCATAATTCATGTTATAAGCTCATTATGGACCACGATATATTCGTCAGATGGTTTTATCTGCACTACACTCGTAATTTTTGGTTATTCAGTATTGACTTCGTTAGTTAGACTACGAAATATGTTCCTGGAATACTGCTGCATCGCTTCTGTTATGTCAAGTCACATTCGAGATATATGTATATGTATGTAGATGTAATTGGAACGAATTGTACCTAACGTTCTGTCTCACTGAACATAACACCTTAAAGGATTAGAATCTTGAAATTCTCTTTACACGTTTAGAAATTTATTATACTGTGATTTCAAACAATTTTTCCATTGCTCTTGCATTTTAAGTAAGTGTTCAGCTTTATATACAAAAAAAGCAACAGAATTCGTAAAGAATATAAATATCCTAAGTCAAGCAGAAATGTCTAACTTCTGGAGTTAAAATATCTTTGAATGCAAATGGTCATCCTGTCTAAGGACATCATATTAGACAACCTGTCTAATAAGAAATATGTGAAACCTATATATAAATTCTATATTGAATTCTAGGTATAAAATTTTCGCTACAAGTCTTTATTAGTTTTCGAGATATTAATAAAAACAAAATCAATAGTATATTAATAAAACATTAATTAATAAAGCGCTAACCCATGACTGACCTAGAATATGGACAAGAGATAGAATCGTTTGGAGATCCCAACTACCTGCAGCATGTCTGGACAGAACCCAATATAGTAAATTCTCTCCAATTGTCGCTCAACATGCAAACAGAAATGCACAATTTAGGAATAGGAGATACGATCATTCCCAAATTGTCCATTTATGTTTACATGTTGAGCGACAATTGGAGAGAATTTACTGTATATCGTACCAAATGTTCATTCCTAAATATCTCGACAAACAATAAGTAATGACTCATAGCCAAAATTTAATATGCGCGGTACCTTCTCCTCACCTCCACAAAATTTCGGTTCATTATGACGAGAAGGCTGTAACGTGCTACAGATAAACCGTTCAATTGAGATCGTCGAAACCAGTTTCCCCCAAAACTGTGAGTTCCGAGTTATGTCAGTGTTGCAGCAAATGAGCGATATACAGTTACGATCGGAGATTCCAATATAGGTGGAAGAATCGGTTTTGAGAGGTCGACACGAGACACTCGACCCCATCGCTAGGCCGCTGTATTGGCTGGTTAGCAGTAGCGAGTAGCGACTGTGGTAGACTACGAATAGCTGAGGCGGGAGCGATGACCAGATGTGCGGATCGTACACCGAACGGGCACGGATGAACGGATGAAGCGATGGAAGCGGATAGTATTTGGCTTTAAAATTTCGGCCTCGGTGCGAGGCGTATTCGAGGCGTATTCGAGGCGACCCAGCTGTCGGCGTTGTCGGGTCCGACGACTATCCATGGTGCCGCGGACCGGGGAAAGAGTCACCCTACAGTGCTGAACAAGTCGTTGAGGGTCGGCTTTATCTCGGGGCCAGCCTTCGGACACCCTATAGCGACTACAGTCCGCCACCGATGTCTCTCTCTCTCTCTCTCTCTCTCTCTCTCTCTCTCTCTCTCGTGAAACAGTAGAAGGATTCCTGGGTCGGCGAAGACACGAGTTTTAGATTAACTGGACAGTAGCCACTTACCGCACCTGCGGGGATCATTCCGGGCTACACGTGTAGTCGATATAAACGGAAGTCCAGGAATCTTCGAGCCTTTAAATCGCTGATATTTTGTTGTCCCGGTATTGACGTCGATTCGGATAACCGGGTGAAACGTGATTCGGAATTCATATTGCGGCGGTAGCTGACTGATTTTGTATCAATATGTTGTTTATTGGACATTATTTATCGACACACGCTGTATGTAACGTAATATATATATATATATATATAATATCTAGGTTAGAGGAACACCGCCAAATTTGGAATATCATTTTAAAGTCGTTTACTGCCAAATATGCTACGACGAAGAACTTTGGAAAATGGTTGTATTGTTTGTTCATTTTTCCTTGATAGAATATCATTGCGCAAATGAGAACGAAACGTTGATGTAAATTCGTTCGTCACACCATATGGTACTGCTGCGATAGTATTGATATCGCCGGATTTATATGTCGAAATTGCTTTAGGTGGTGCAGGTTGAAATGTGACGACCGCGGCTACCGATGTTGCA